AATCTAGGACTTAGGGAAAGTAGTGACCAAGAAGTTCCAAAAAGGGACTGGGAGCAGGGGTTCCTAACCACAAGAAAAAAAAAATACACCAATGAAAGAGAAGAAAAGGAAGCCATCTCCTCAAGATGATAGCCTAGCCCAGCAGTTAAAACATGGTGTTCATGGTTCATCTCTCTGAGAGATGAGCAGTAGACTATGCCATCTTTTTCTTCACCCTTTTATAGCCTTGCATTGGCAAAGACATAGCGATATCTATTTCAAAGTCACAGTGGAGACAGGTTGGGAGAGCTATCCCAGAATACTGTTTCTGCTCCCTTTACCTATGTGTCTTTTTTTAAATGTCACTTAGTGATCAAACAAGCAAGGACGTGCCAGAAGCAAATGGGTGTGAGGCAGCTCCGTCTCACTGTTTTTCACAATCAGTCTAAGTGTTAACCCAAATGCTTCTCACCACCACTTGTAAGTACATGCCTGCTTGGCATGTAACGTACAGTTTGGTAGCAAACCTCTTATGAGAATTCCCGACATTTCCAACTGCCAATAGTCTGCCAATAAGGTAGAGCTTGGAAGGGGAAGTTCAAAATGGTAGGAACCACAAGTATTATGTTAATACTGCTTATGTAGGATTTTCTTTTTTAACTCTGAAAAGTCTAGCAGATATCTGTTGAAAGGATCTGCTTGTCAAAGTATCTCTTGCCAGAAGGAAGGTAATTCTATCAATAGACAAAAACATGTCTCCAATTTTATTTATCCTTTTAAGTTCTGAAAGCACATTAAGGAAGAGTAACATTCCACTTTGGTTACAAAGTGCTAATTAATAACTAACTTCAATTCTCCCAGAGGTAAAATATTAACATTTTTTAATGAAATTAAGCATCACAATCTTCATCTTCTAATTGTTATAAAAACATTTAGCAGCAATATCTGTTTAATTATTTAGGCATCTCTTAATGGTGTAAGTCAGCGCAGTCATAAATATTTTCTGCTTTGTCCATAGACAATCAGTTAAGGATCTGTTGCTTGTAGGACTTAAATTAAGATCTATTTAAAGCTGCCTGCTGGCCACAAAATAATTACTTACGCTTGCTAATGCCTGAATCTATTAGATTTAGCAGCAAGAAGTGTTCTTTGCTTTCACAAGTAGGGGAAAGTTATTTTTCTTATATAAATTTCATTGTTAACGGTATTAGGGAGGATTAGGGTGGGGTTGAAGTAGTTGAAAATTTAATTAATCTAATCCTTTTAACAGCAATTGTTTTCATATTGATAATTCTCTGTAACAACAGTATTACAGATCACACCCATGTGAAATATTTACACGAAATATTTTAGCATATAATCTCTCCTCCAGCTTTCTCTTTCTAGATCAGTAAGGTTTTCAGCTTCTTCAGCTTTCTCTTTTTTTCTTTCTCTCTCACCACAAATGCAGGCTTTTTTCTTAGGGGACCAAAATGAAATCCTCTTCCCGCCCCGCCACTAATTTTCTCTCAATATCATTGTCTCTCAGTAAGTTATGTTAATGGTCATCAAATCATGAATCTCCTTTTAAAAGAGCATGAGGCTATGAAATAAAAATGGTTCAATTGATTTTTTTTTTTTTTTGGATCTACAGCCATTTGGTGTAGATTCTCATTAGAAATGATTTGTTTACTCATCCATTTCAATAAATTGCTATGCTGCTGAAATTATCACTAAGAGTAGAGTCAGATGAAGGACAAAACTGTCATTCTGGTCAAACTCTGATCATCTCCGGTGTAAATTGGGAATGGTTCTTAATCTGCTCAAATGTCACATTATCCAGGAGAGACTTTCTCTGACCTCCCAATATAAAATTACCATCAGTATCCCTCCTCCAACACCATTCTCCCCTTTAATTGGTTTTATTTTTCTCCAGAGCAGTTACCACCATCACATAGCATTATGAAACATTACGTATTTGTTTGTTTAGTGCATTTCCCTCAACTAAAATGGAAGCTCTGCTGAAAGCCAGGACTTGGATTTGTTTACTACTGCATCTTGAAAGCCAAGACAAGTGCCTTAAATATAGGAGTATAGTGAGCAATCAATAAATAATTATTGCATGCGTGAAACTTTTTTCTCATTTTTCAGGTGCCTAAAGCACCAGATCAGTGCAAAGCAATAAAATTGTCTCCTTGTCCTGGCATGCATTTTGATGGCTGACAATTTGATGTAAATGGAAGCATTTATCCTAAGCCAGCTGTCCTGCTGAGCCCCAGTGGTAAAGTGTCCTTGGGGAACAAAAGCAGAGACTGAGTGCTTTGTGTGGCCATGTCTTCATTAAAGGACTAAAACTATGAGTTGTGCAGTGCTGTCTGGCATCCACACGTTTACAATCTTAAAGAGTAACACAAAGCAGAGAATCTCAAAGGATGTTCTCCAGAACACCACTTCTAGGGCATATAAGGAGGGGTTACTAATGCAAAAAGGGGCTCCATGGTCAAATAAAGGTTCTGAAACTAGGTATTACATGAAGCTAAGGAAGATTCATAACTTCAAGACATCTTAGATGTATGATAATGCTCACTAGGGTTTTAAAACTCTTAGACTCTTCCTTTCTACTACCAATCCTGTTTCTAAGACTGGGTTGCATCACAGGTAACACCACTGACTTGGGAACTGACAAGGTCAGGTCAGGGGCAGGAGAAATGGGTCTTGGCACTGCCCCTTACTCACTTTGTTATATGACCTTGGGCAAGTTATGTAACACTTCTCTATGCCTCAGTTTTCTCTTCTGTAAAGTAGCAAAGGAAAGGATTACCCAGGATAATGTATGTAAAGTGTCTGACCCGTAAGTGCTAAATAAATGATGGTTATTGTCAACACCTTTTACCGAATATCGGAATGAATGCTTTTTAGATAGATATCCTCAAGTATATTTCTTAAGACAGGTTTGCTAGGATCCACCTATACCCAGAAGCAGCCTGCTGTGCCTCCCTCTCTGTCTCAGCACCCTATCCCCCTCTGAGAAGATCTGCACATCGATGGTGAAGTCGAAGAAATGCTATCTTTCAACGTGACTTAATACAAATGTTTAATAACTCACTCTGGTGTATCCTGCAGAGTTGATTCCCTGGGTTTTGATACCCTTGACCTCAGATGAAGATGCTTTTGTCAGGAGGAAGGTGGTAGCATCTGAGTTAATGATTGTGCAGATGGCTACATGCTGGTAGATTTTGAAGTGACCTTATTTTTTCAGTAAATTTCAAATGAAGGTGTGATTTGTGTAAATCTGACCCCTTCCAGTAAAATGTGCATTTACATATATTTAGAATTTATAAATCTTGACAGATTCCACAATATTTATAGCCCTCCATAAAAAGCCTTTGCCAGTTTGCAGAGCTTTGCATTTGGCTCTCTGGTATGCTTAAGAGAGTTTAAATAATAATAAATTTGGTGATATATTCCACCTGGAACAGAAACTTATTTTCCCCCCTTGGCTCGTTTTGAAGGGGATACTATAAATAGTGCCACAGACGCTGGGATCAGGAATAGGGAATTGAAATTCGAGAGAGAAGTACAGAAACATTTCCATTATCACTGATGCCTTGAATGTATTTTTAAAACAGTTCTGTTCCTCAAGTAATGTACCTTCTCTCCTTTCTCCTACCCCATCTCAATTATACTTGAGTCCCCCAAACCTGTTGCCAGCTTTAAGGTTCAGTTGCACTAATGGGAAAGAGAGAGTGAAAGTATTAGCTGACTAGGTAGGAGAAATTGCCTCTAGGGAGGCCAAAGCAATTCTCCAGTGTTCATCTTATACTTCACGGGAGTCAGCTGGTAACTGAGCGTCGAGGTCTAAAGTGTAAATTCATTATTTGAGACCCAGCTCGTGCATCCTGCAGGTATGATGAAAAGCTCTCAGTTCATGAAAAAGAAAAAAAAAAATCTAATTGTAATTACAAGAGAAAGCCTAAGGACAATGTCAGAGGGTCGATTCTTTCACTCATCCATGCTTATAATTACCCAGTGGAGGATTAGGGAGAAATGCCTGAATGGTTGACTCCAAATGATACCATTTATTTTCTTAAACACAAAGTAAACAAAAATCAGGGAGCCAGCTGTTTGCCCTGGAATCATATGATGAAACCTGAAAGCAGCTATTAGATGTAGCATAAGTGGTGTTATAACTTGTTGGGATACAAGATTTATTCCCAGCTTCTTGTTTGAGGAGACAGCCTTTGTCAGGGGGAGATAATAGTCATGGCTAGCATCCATGGACAGCTGACTCTGGGCCGGCACAGAGCAACACGTCAAGTAGCTGTGGCTCATACTTCTAATTAAGTACTGGATTTTCCCGTCCTCATAACTTGGAGCACGCCCCTGTCCCAAGTCTTTCCTATGCAATCCCCTTGCCTCTAGCTAATAGGATGGCAGATGTTTGGACCAAGCCCCAGAGCCTGTGGTATACCACATTTTAATGATTTGTGGTGAACAAAGTAAATGCTTTAAGAGCAGGCTTTATGACGCAGGGACCTAGTTAAATATGATGGATGTGCGGCAAAGCAAGAAGCTGAATGTTGTATGGGGGTGTTGTTTCCTAAACAGGGCGCAGGTATCTACGGTTCCTTGCTAATTCTAAAGGTTTGCTTGAAAAATGACTTTTTAAAGAACTGTGCTCTTGAGGAACGTCCTTGAGGCATGGAGGAATTTCCTTGCTTTCCTATAGCATCTTTCTGAGAGGACACAGAGGTATTGAGCTGTTAGACAGTTGCTCGGTGTCTTTGTGCTTCTGGGACCACATTATGGGTCTAACACATATGGGATAAATAAACTGTTTTCATTCCTTAAAGCCCATGGAAGGAAACCAGACGAGAAAATTACCACGTTGCCTCATTTTTTTAGCTACTAAAGAGGAGAATCCAGTTAGGGCAAATAAAAATGATTACTGCAAACAGGGTTCCCCCCACCCTTTCTTTCCTTCCTAGCCTTTTACTCAACAACAGCAATATAGCAAGACTTGTGTCAAACCAGTGTTTTGATGCACCCTCTCCTGTTCTTCTTCCATAGGGCAACCCCTACATGTGCAATAATGAGTGTGATGCAAGTACCCCTGAGCTGGCGCATCCCCCTGAGCTGATGTTTGATTTTGAAGGAAGACATCCCTCCACATTTTGGCAGTCTGCTACTTGGAAGGACTATCCCAAGCCTCTCCAGGTTAACATCACTCTGTCTTGGAGCAAAACCATCGAGCTCACAGACAACATAGTTATCACCTTTGAATCAGGGCGTCCGGACCAAATGATCCTGGAGAAATCTCTCGATTATGGACGAACATGGCAGCCCTACCAATATTACGCCACAGACTGCTTAGATGCCTTTCACATGGATCCCAAATCCGTGAAGGATTTATCACAGCATACGGTCTTAGAAATCATTTGCACTGAAGAGTACTCTACGGGATACATGACAAATAGCAAAATCATCCACTTTGAAATCAAAGACAGGTTTGCGTTTTTTGCTGGACCATGGCTACGCAATATGGCTTCTCTCTACGGGCAGCTGGATACAACCAAGAAACTCAGAGACTTCTTTACAGTCACAGACCTGAGGATAAGGCTTTTGAGACCAGCGGTTGGGGAAATATTTGTAGATGAGCTACACTTGGCACGCTACTTTTATGCAATCTCAGACATAAAGGTGCACGGAAGGTAAGAAAACATCTGTCTGACTTGAATGGAATGGTTGTTCGAAGAAAATGCCAGTGTGTTGGTCCCACAGCTGTGGAGTGACATGTGACACTTTCTACTACAACAGTTCCTCAGGAACACCAGTCTAGAGCTAGGTTTGGAGAAATTTGAGACCCTTCTTACTCAGCAGTAATTTGTGATCCCAGACTCGCTGTCAGTGAACCTGAACCTGGCAGGATTTCTTAGAATTTAAACAGAAAGGGTGGGGGCGGGGAGGGGTGTGGGTAGTAGCATCTTATTTGAGTCCAAGGAACTCCCTAGATCAGGGGGTGGTTTAAATCTTTAAGGCAATGAAGCCAGGAGGGACAAAGTCAGCTGCTTCATAAAAGATAACGGGAAAACAAGAAATACGTCTTTCCATTGTTTTCAAATGCCAGACAGGGTTTCAACGTGGTACATCTCTCTGTTTACGTTTCATTGTATTGCACCGAAAAAAGCTTCTGAACTGTAAATTATATCCCTTTAAATTTATTAAATCAGAACCAAAAGTGTTTAGGAAGCACAATGCATTTGTTGAAAAAGGAGTGAGCTCTGCTTTTCAGGCTTTTGGTGGTTATTGCCTTAAAAAGATATGCTGCCACTTAAATATGGACCTGAGGCAGGCTCCCCTCATTTTTTGGGGTCAATTACAGGTGGACCAGAGTTTAAATCCATTAGCGGTCACTGTCAGGCATATCTTTGGTTTTGATAATACATCAGAGACACACTTGAGCAAGTTTCCAAGAATTTTGAGGATGCTTTAATGAAAAACTCAAGTCATAAGAACCAGGACGACTAAGGTAGAGCTGTTCAACCAGATTTCTAACTGTTTTATGGTTGGTATCCAAATAACCAACTGATGGGAGTCGAAGCATGAGGTAATTAGTCAGGAAAACTAAAGATGAGTGAGGTATACAGCAAAATGGAAAAAAGAGAAAGCAAAGCAACAATCATTCTAAAAATGCAGAGAGCTTCACGTCAGAATATATGAGGTTAAGAATATAAACAGCCCATAAGTCATGTAGGTTTCATTAAGCAATCCTAAAATTTAAACAAACACAGCAGGCTCCAGCATCCCTTAGGACAGCCCAGTCCTCAGAAATTGGAGAAGGGTTGAGACTCCCTGGTCATTCTGAAAGTTGACTCAATCTATCTTTTGATAATAGTGTTGTTTTATTTGTACACTAGAAGAAAGGAGAGGTCACTGATGTTAAGGTAAAGGTTATAATGGGCACACAGAACGGAGTGGTGGGCATGACCTCAGTGTGGTAGTAGAGGTTTCAGATTCTGAACCGTGGAAAGTAGCAGGAACTGGTGGCCACCTCCTCTCAGCTTTGTTCCAGCTTCATGTTCCTCCTGGAAGAGTCAGGAGTCTTAAGCAATGGAGCCTCTTTAAAAATTGTTAACTAAGGTCTTGGTGACATATGATGAAGATACCTTGAAAGCAAAATAATATTTCTGAGAGAAATAGGCACTGGTAAACACTGAGCTTGTGGGTTCCAGGGTGTAGAGGAAAGTTCACGTATTGGTAGGGCACCACGAGAGGGCAATCTGGAACTGTGGCCTGAAATATGAATTGGCTATTTATAGTAAAATGTAGCCATTATACTCGTAAACATTTTTGCAAGAGGTCATCAGTTTCCAGTTCTTATTCTTGGGGACTATAAAATATAAAAATAATTGATGTTGATATTATTAACAATAGCATTCTATAACAAAGTAACAAGTGTTCTGTTCCTCTACAAGAACAAGTGTCAAAATTCATGAGCTGAGGTTTGAATTTGAATCCTAGTGTGATCTACATTGTTAGATAAAATCACCTAATTCAGTTTTCTTGCAGTTTGAGAAATTTTTAATCCAAAATCCTTAGAGTCCAACTTGTGCAAACACTATCATCTTCCACTTGTAAAGAAGGCAATCTTGTGAAGCTTTCGGTTGGGAAGTAACCATTGTTGGAGCTTATTTCTGTTACTGCACATTCATTTTTGTTTCTCCTGATTATTTAAAAAAAAAAAAGAGAGAGAGTATAAATACACTTTAAAGCCACAGGCATTTTTATGCGTTCCCTGTGGGGGTCACTTAAAAGTGGCATGTTAGAAAAGTAGACTCCCACCAGATTTCCCACGTTTCTTTTATCCCTGGTCCTACTAGTATCCTCCAACTGCATCTCAGGGGTTCTGGAGAGTTTGCAGGAACCGTCCTCCCTTCTCTGGGACTCACCTCTGCCGTCTGTTCCTGTTCACCAGTCAACCGTAAGCTAGTGAGGAAGCAGCTGGGCAAGAGAGAAAGGTCCAGTAGAGGTGAGCTCCTTCCAGGTCCCTCTCTGTCGCCTCTAAATTCTGTCCAAATTCCTCAGGGCAAAACTGATGCTGGCGTGTACCGTGCTAGGCACCAGATGGCCGGGGTATTTTTATCTTAGGGGAGGGACTAAGGAAGCAAGGCCTGACGGCTCGGGCGTGTCTCCAGCTTCTAAGTTATATAAGGGAAATGGAGGCAAAAGGGAGTGGTTGAGCTGCTACTGGTGCGTGGGTCTTTCAGCACAGAAGCTGATACGTACATCTTACCCTTGGAAACTTCAGTAGGGTTAGCGGTCGAGGTCGTCTCTTTCTTATATAGCAAATCATCTGTAGAAAGATTGACTATTAATTGATGATGTCCAAAAGAAAGTTGTAAGAGTTCCTTTTCAAAGACTTCATCAATAGAAACTTTCCAAAATATAACCAGGCCTTTGTCTCCCTCAACCCTCTCTTCGCCATCGCTGAAATGACTGCAACATTTAACACACCATTACGTGTCTATATCTGATCATTATAATGATACTTTTTGACTTCTCACTCTACTACCACCCACACCACAATGTGGGAATTGGCATGAATTATTTGGGGAAAGTGGGCAGATATCCATAAAAGAGTGGGCAGGCAATACAAGATTTTTCAGCTATGAAACAAATACAGGTGGAGAATCTTTGAATTGACAATGAAGTCCAATTCTCAGCTTCTCGTGCATGTGTGCATCCGGCCTTTATGTTTCATACTGGCTACTATTGTTTGGTGTGAAAGTGATGCTTTGATTGTTATTAGACTAATGTAGCGTTTATGTTCTTTTTAGCATTTGACACGTCTCATACCTATTTACTGGTGACAAAAACTATAATCCCATCATAAAAATTTTATGCCTCTTTGGCCACATACTTATTTTGCTTCCATTTACTCCCTCTCATTGTGTATTTATTAAGATAATGGAGGGGGGGCACCTGGGTGGCTCAGTTGGTTAAGCGACTGCCTTTGGCTCAGGTCGTGAATCTGGAGTCCCGGGATCGAGTCCCGCATCGGGCTCCCTGCTCGGCAGGGAGTCTGCTTCTCCCTCTCCCACTCCCCGTTTGTGTTCCCTCTCTCGTTTGTGTTCCCTCTCTCGTTCGTGTTCCCTCTCTCGCTGTGTCTTTCTCTGTCAAATAAATAAATAAAATCTTTAAAAAAATAAAAAATAGGGCGCCTGGGTGGCTCAGTTGGTTAAGCGACTGC